CACAGAAATCATCGATAGATACAGCGATAGCAGGCGGCTAGACGTTTGCGAGGCACTACACATCAAGAAGTCAACACCAGCAATCAACAGCCAATTATTGCACAACTATATTCTACCCACCTCAAGACTCCGCTCCAATATAGAAGCATCAAGAAATATGGACCAATAGGCTTTCTACAAACACTTCTATTCAATACCCATTGTTTCTGTTCTGTCTTGTGTTGATACTTTTAATACCCTATTAATATCCCCTCCTGTTCTGTCTTGTGTTAATGCCACATCACCCTTCCCACCTCACTCAAATATAGATATAATATCAGAGAGACGTAAGTTCTAATCAGTTGTGTATTTGTGAAGTCTTTGAAAATGTAATAAGTTTTACGAAACGCGCTCGTGTCGCGTCAGACTAGAAATAAAAATGAATTTTGGAGAAGTGATTTTTGATTTACCTCTAACAGTGAAGCGTAATGTACGAAAGATTGAGAAAATTCGTGTTAGAATTATTAATCTTACTTTTTCGGTCATATTTAATAATATATGTCTACAGGAAAGACTGCTACCAAAATATACTAATATATATATATATATATATATATATATATATATATATATATATATATATATATATATATATATATATATATATATATATATATATATATATATATATATATATATATATATATATATATATGTATATTGTAAGGTAGATGTCTTTTGGTTTCAAGAATTTGTAATCTTCTTACATCCTGAGTTTAGTCTATTATGCAAGTTATAGGCAAAAAAAATTTTAATATTATAATATTAATAATAATAAAAAATAATGATAATAGACAAAATAATATTTAGTTACATAAATGACAAAAGTAAGGATGTAAGAAAATTACAAATGCTTGAAGCCATTCATATAAAAGCTGAACAACCCACAATAAACAAATAACGGAACTATTCACTCTACCCACTTTGAGAGTAAGGACAACATCGGAACACGAAGATGCCAACGTAGACGACAATGCTCAAAACGGCACGCCCACTTCACCTGATTAATCTTTGTACGTGCTTCATCCCTTTTTTCTGTTTTATTCGGCACCATTTACGTCCCCTATTTATGCCCAATTCTTCCTCCCATTACGTCGTACTCCTCACCTATTTGCTCGATGTACCTGACCTCCCAAATGGTATAATTTCAATACGCCCAGTACAGTTCCATGCTACAAGAAACTCAAATCCTAAACAAGAATGAACCCATCCACTTCCAAGGAGGTAGACTAGACCTTACGTTTATTTCAGCCTCCCTCGTAGTCGCAGCAACATGTTCAGTTGAACCCACACTCACAATCGACCATTATGGGGTCCAAATTGATCTAAGTTTGAATCTTTCCACCCCACCTCCACCAGACGCCTAGAACTTCGCTCAAGCAAAATTTGACGGCTCTCAAAACTTCATGTCAGAGTGGCATAGAAACTGTTGTTCCTGAAGACAATACACATCTACACATCAAGATCTTCAATCTTGATCTGGTAGATCAAGATTTTGTAAAAGTAATTCAAGTTGCAGCCAACCACTCAATTCCACTGAAAAAACAGTTCACCAGACACCACAAAGATTACTGGTACTATTGCAAACGTGTCAAAGAACTCAAACATAGACTCAATAGTACTCGGAAGCCGTACGAAAAGCATCCAAGTGACCGCAACTGAATCTTACTTTGTGAGGTCAAGGAACATGTACCTCATGAGTCCATGATAATCAAAGAACAAAAGTGGCTGGAATGGTTTTCACATCTGAATGAACACACCTCTCTTGGAGAGACGTGGCAGCAAATCAACAGGGTCAAAGGAAATGAAAACACCAAAAGCCCCACACCCTAAGGATCCTCAACGGGAATCCGAAGTACTTGCTACCAAATTTGCAGACAGAGCAGCCAGTAATCAGCTTCCCCCAGAGGTACTAGCAGCGCAGAAAAGATTATAGGAAGAAAGATGGCACAGAATCCTAACAGCATGTGCAGAAGTCTCTGACACTAATGCCCCTTTCACACTGAATGAGCTCAATCGGGCTAAGATAAACTCCAAATATACATTCCCTGGAGACGACAAAACAGTCAATAAAATGATTAGAAACCACGGCCTAGAGGGAGACGCTTCATACCTTACGTTAATTAATTTGGCCTGCCCTTCTCATAATAGACCTACAGCTTAGTATAGAGCAGATAGAGGGCCGATCTCAAAATCCAAAGATCCAGCTAATCCACGACCCATCTCTCTCCAAAGCTGTGCAGCCAAGACGGCTGGCAAAATTGCACTCAATAGACTTGAGTGGAATAAGCCTAAACTGCACCAGGACATGAATGCTTGTAGGAAAGGGGTTGGTACAGTGGAATGTTTTACCATTCTGTTAGCCCACCTGAATGACAGACCAGGAATACTGATATTATACATAGAGTAATCACACTAACGTGATATGTCAATGAGAAAATCCGTAGGAGCCGTGATGAGGGTTCGAACCTGGAAGTTCGAAGCCTTAAAGGAATCTGGAAGTAGAAGCCACAGAAAACCCTTGTGAGCTCAGTAGTACTCGAGGTTGCAATCCTTTTGACCATGCCTTTCTTAGTTGACTAGGGCGTGTTCAAATCACAGCCGCGTCCAACAGCGTGATTAACTAGACCTCTTACCGCAGGAGGCTTGGTGAGAGACCGGCCCCTTGGGGACGTTTATCCTAGGAGCATCCGAAATAAAAGGTAATTGCAAGGCAAGGTAACGCTTCCCAGGGGGGCCATAGATTTCCCAAAGTTAATTGCCATTAATACTGTCTGTGTTAAGTGACTTCCCACTGTTGCCTACTGTAAATATTTAGTTTCTCTTTTGGTTTTTCAAGAATCAGATGACTGTCGTTAAGGTGGATTAGCATACAATGAACTTGAATCGGTGTGGAGCTCATCATTCACTCTACACCTTGATGAAGAAGGATATCCTTAATTTGTTTCTTATCAAGTGCACGTAGCATCTTGTACTTGGCCTGTTCTCATGCATGTGACGAATTGCCTCCCAACATCGAGTTCATGATAAGAGGGAGCTACAGCTAGTTCCACAGATCTTCATTAAGGATAGAAAGTTATCTAGAAATTTGCAGATTGAAATGATGGGAAAGATCCCTTACAGTTAATACCTTTGTCAGGAACACGATGGTTGGCAAAGATCGGAAGTGTAAAGCGGCTTTTACACTGGTGGGATTCTTTAACAACTCATTACCAAATCTCTTCTTCCTCTTGTGATAAATATGTTGCAAGGCAACTATTTCAATGTACTCTGATCCCGCAAATAAGCTATATTTCACATTTCTCAAACCAATCCTAAATGACTTTGAAGGGATGAATTTACTTTATCAAGATGAAGCAGATCAGTGTTGCCTTTACACCTGACCAAGAGTGAAGAAAACTTCACTCTTGGAATGCTCAGATAAGTCGTGCATCCTTATCAGGCAAAGCTTCATGTTAATTTGGACTTCAATTCCATATATCTGCCCCTGGAGAAAGTGAACATTAGTTACGAATTTTCAACAGTAACAGACCAAACAATTTCATAACCCAGGAAAAGTTTCAAAATATTCAAGAAAGATGCCATAATTTTTTAGTGAAAGCAGCAGAGAGCTTCATTCTCGTATTCCTAGTGATGCTGAAACTTTCAAAAAGATGAAAAATCTGTCACCTAGAATATGCCTTAGCCACACACGGCCACCATTTTCAGAACTACATTCGTACTAGCTGACCATTCTAAGCTTAGTGAAACTGAAAGTCAGTGTCGCCTACTGTTAACCATTGACTGGGCCATCATTTGTTAGGGACAAATTCTAACATCTGGATCGTCATTTTGGACATAGGCAATAACTGTCAAGAACGTTGCTGGCGAGCCCATACTGATTGGTCTCGCTGAGTTTGCATTGCAAATATACAGTTTACCCATCAGTAATGCCCTGGTTGAACGGATATTTTCGGGAGTAACATCTGTGAAAACTAAAGTGAGAAATCGAATGAGACTTGAGCTTTTGACATCAATAATGAAACTCAAAACATATCTTGAAGAAAATGGAACTTGTTGCTCATCATTTGAACCACTCATGTCAATGCTTAAATATGAGTCTGCAATATACAAGAACGAGGTTGTGGATGCAGACGAAGATCGTGATAATCTTCAACTGTGAAGACGTGGAAGGACTCTACACTCATTATGCTTTATTCAGCAAATATTTGTAAGATATTTTATTATCATATTTTGTTTATTATATATATGCAGAAATAATATTATTAAAACCATTAAAATCGTGCAGTGTACTCTATGTATTAAAATATATTACTTTGAAAACCGTATCAGTCACTAAACAAAAAACTGGGGAACTCTTATTACAAATTCGGTGCTTTAAGACCATCAGTTCGCTACTTTCAGCAATTCGTATCTTACAACCCTGGCTCAGTGCTACGGCAAGGATGGGTCAGGTCACGGAGGCGTCCAGCACGCCTGCCTTGGACTCTTGCTGTTCTTCCTTGGTCATGTATCTGTCAATAAACACATTACAAAACCTTTGCTGCCCCTTAGTAAATGTTTGTGCTTCAATATGTAGTCCACTGCCAATTCTTTAGAAAACTAAACCAAAATAAGTCTAATTCTGGTACCATTATAAGGCCCAGTTCGGTGTCTTAGTACAATCTCGTTTCATTCCATTTCAACAATAATACCCCTCAATATATCACGTAGTTTAAGCTTTTTGATTTGTATTCTCTAATGCTTTGATGTTTCCTTTACTTCAAGTAATCCATGGAGGAAAATTGTCTATCTCCTCTGTGACCCACTTCCATACTGGTTCTTACCCCTCAGTGTGTGCAGTCCTTACTGATTGTGTATTTTTTACTTGCTTGTCGTTCCTAGTTGAATGTCGTGCATTGTCTCATTGTCTACCACCATTTGCAGTGTGCCCCTTCCCTACTTGCTAATCCATCCCTCACTTGTCCGATCTCTTCATCTGTGTTGCTTCTCGCATCTAACTCGTTGTCAATCCTTGAACTTGTGTCTTCCCACTCTTTCCTCACCTTCCTGATTTCTTCCTTAATATAGTCCTCAAGCACCTGCCTTTGCTTCTCCATCTCAAATTGTATTTGTTGAATTATCTCACTTTTAATTTCGAGGATATAATCCTCCATCCAATCGCACCTGCTCTCAACATATTCCGCTGTCACCTTCTCTAAAATCCTATCCTCCTCTTCCCTGCTTCCGCTTAATCTGGCCGCCCTTCCTGTTTTTGTCATTTTAATATACTACTTTTACCAATGGGCATCCCAATTACCTTGTCTTGCCCTACTAAGAAGGTTAGTGACTATCCAGGTATCTTTTCCAAGGTGTCCTGGCCCTCCATGATACTGGCAGGCGTCATGGTACTCCTGGTCACTGTTGGTGTTGGGCAAGTGAGAGGTCAATGAGAGGTCAACCCGACACACCCTGTCCCACGAGTCAAAATGTGATACAACACTTATTTCCAAATATTTACATTATTTATTTATTTGACTTCTTATGATTTCAATCAGTTTACCAAATATCCATTCACTTGCATTCACTTTTTCATTCCGATGTTTCATGTTCGCCTCTCCCAAATAATTACGAAACACTGCAGGTCTCATGGCCACAACCCCCCCCCCCCCTCCACTAAGGTTACTATGGTCACTCCACTTCATTCAACACACACACACACACCTAACACCTACATCTAACACACACTTTTGTGTGTGTTAGATGCGAGGGGGAACTGCCTACCTGTAACGATTCGAGAAATAGACCTGGGAGTGGACGTAACACCTAATCTAACTCCTGAGGCACATATAAATTGGATAACGACATTGGCGTACTCTACACTGGCGAAAATTAGAACTTCATTTAAAAATTTAAGTGAGGAGGGTTTTAGGGCGCTTTACACTGCCTACGTGAAACCAGTCTTAGAGTATGCCGCTGTTACCTATCGTACACACAGCTCAGACATCTGTCACCGTATAATTTAAATACTCTAGGGGAAAACGGTATATAATTATGATGTCCTAGAGTGTCCCATGATATGGCACAAGACAAGAAAAAACTGATAAATCAGTGTTCACCAGATGGGGTTACAACTATAACAAACATTAACATAGAATGTAATATATTTTCATATAACTCAAAACTATAATATTAAAAGTATTTCAGATGGCAATCACTTAATAAATGGTTACGTAATTAAAAGAAATCTGTCCTCTAGACACAATTAATCTACCTATATACTCGAGACATCAATACTCAACTTATGTAACCCAGACGAGGTCTCGCAGCCAACTGACGGACTCTCGTCGCCACTACCCACAATGCACTCTCTCTCCGCCTCATCCAGGATGAGGGATGGTAAATTAGGACTTTTAATTATTTACAACTAATTGAACAAACAATTGTTCTCAAAATACATAAGAATGCAAATAAAATATAAAAGTTTCTTTCAAATAATATAAGTTACAATGCCACATGCTTAATTACAGTAAATTAACAAATATATGAATATTAAAAGGTGACATCTGGTACTCCCATAACTGAACAGGTCCAGCAATCTAATTCCCCCGAATCTAACAGGTATTAGACATGTGAAGAGCAACCGCGCTCCTGTCTCACTGATATTGCCACACCACATGATAAATTATAAAAATATAATATATATATATATATATATATATATATATATATATATATATATATATATATATATATATATATATATATATATATATATATATATATATATATATATATTATTAAATATGACCGAAAAAGTAAGATTAATAATTCTAACACGAATTTTCTCAATCTTTCGTACATTACGCTTCACTGTTGGAGGTAAATCAAAAATCAATTCTCCAAAATTCATTTTTATTTCTAGTCTGACGCGACACGGGCGCGTTTCGTAAAACTACATTTTCAAAGACTTTAGTTCACAAATACACAACTGAATAGAACTTACGTATCTCCGATTTTATATCTACATTTGAGTGAGGTGGAAGGGGTGATGTGGCATTAACACAAGACAGAACAAAATGTGGTATTAATAGGGTATTAATTTCATCAACACAAGACAGAACAAGGGTATTAATAGGGTATTAATTTCATCAACACAAGACAGAACACGAAACAATGGATATTGAATAGAAGTGTTTGTAGAAAGCCTATTGGTCCATATTTCTTGATGCTTCTATATTGGAGCGGAGTCTTGAGGTGGGTAGAATATAGTTGTGCAATAATTGGCTGTTGATTGCTGGTGTTGACTTCTTGATGTGTAGTGCCTCGCAAACGTCAAGCCGCCTGCTATCGCTGTATCTATCGATGATTTCTGTGTTGTTTACTAGGATTTCTCTGGCGATGGTTTGGTTGTGGGAAGAGATTATATGTTCCTTAATGGAGCCCTGTTGCTTATGCATCGTTAAACGCCTAGAAAGAGATGTTGTTGTCTTGCCTATATACTGGTTTTTTTGGAGCTTACAGTCCCCAAGTGGGCATTTGAAGGCATAGACGACGTTAGTCTCTTTTAAAGCGTTCTGTTTTGTGTCTGGAGAGTTTCTCATGAGTAGGCTGGCCGTTTTTCTGGTTTTATAGTAAATCGTCAGTTGTATCCTCTGATTTTTGTCTGTAGGGATAACGTTTCTATTAACAATATCTTTCAGGACCCTTTCCTCCGTTTTATGAGCTGTGGAAAAGAAGTTCCTGTAAAATAGTCTAATAGGGGGTATAGGTGTTGTGTTAGTTGTCTCTTCAGAGGTTGCATGGCTTTTCACTTTCCTTCTTATCATGTCTTCGACGAAACCATTGGAGAAGCCGTTATTGACTAGGACCTGCCTTACCCTACAGAGTTCTTCGTCAACTTGCTTCCATTCTGAGCTGTGGCTGAGAGCACGGTCGACATATGCGTTAACAACACTCCTCTTGTACCTGTCTGGGCAGTCGCTGTTGGCATTTCGGCACATTCCTATGTTTGTTTCCTTAGTGTAGACTGCAGTGTGGAAACCTCCGCCCTTTTCCATGACTGTTACATCTAGAAAGGGCAGCTTCCCATCCTTTTCCATCTCGTAAGTGAAACGCAGCACGGAACTCTGCTCAAATGCCTCCTTCAGCTCCTGCAGATGTCTGACATCAGGTACCTGTGTAAAAATGTCGTCAACATACCTGCAGAATATGGCCGGTTTCAAGTTCATGTCATGTCACATGAAATGTACAGACCTCCCTGTGAGGTAGTCTTCAACCATTTTCATGAGTCTCCCCTTGACACCCATGCATGCAAGCTCGTCCAGGATCGCAATCCCCTGTGCTTTATCGAAGGCTCCTTTGATGTCAACAAATACAGAGTACCTAGCCGTGTCATTAGCCAAGTAATTAACTATACAATTTGCTGTGCTCCGTCCTTTAACAAATCCATTGACCCCCTCCCCTAACCTGCCTATTTTGTGCAACAGTCGGTTTAGGATGATCCTTTCAAGCATCTTGCAAGTGCATGACACGAGGCTGATAGGTCTGTAATTACCAGGGTCATTAGGCTTCGGTATGGGAATAATTATTGCGTGTTTCCATTGTGTGGGCAACACTCCACTTAGGAATGACTTGTTAAACTGGTGGAGTAGTGGATTCCCAGACACTTCACACAGTGCATTGAGTATGTCGTAGGTGACGCCATCTTCACCGGGTGCTGTACTTTTACCCTTTTTCATAGCGCCCCTTACTTCTTGGGCTGTGATTGGTTCCCCATATTCGTCATCACTAGACAGTGCTCTTGTTATCCTAATTCTTCTGTCATCATGTCGCAGGAGCTGTTCCCTGCTGATTTCTGCAGGGAGAGAGGAGGAGGATGCTGCATCACTCCACTTGTGAATTAGTTCCTCAGACTTACCCTGGGGGTCTTTGTGAGCCGCAGGCCGGGCTCTGCCACCCTTATCTAGTATGCACCTAGTCTGGGTATTTCTGAGATTGATCGAAGGTAAGGTCTCAAAACATTTGTTCCTATATACCCAGGACCCCTTTGGTACGACAAGACTCCTCTTGATGACTCTCACTCTCTCTCTCTCACTCAATCTCCCTCTCTCTCTCTCAATTTCTCCCTCTCTCTCTCTCAATCTCTCTCTCACTCAATCTCCCTCTCTCTCTCTCTCTCTCTCTCTCTCTCTCTCTCTCTCTCTCTCTCTCTCTCTCTCTCTCTCTCTCTCTCTCTCTCTCTCTATAGTGCACCATGGGAACCCCTCACCCAAATAGTGCACTATGGGAACCCTTACCCCAATACTACACCGTGGGAACCCTCACCCCAATAGTGAACCATTGGAACCCCTCACGCAAATAGTTCACTACTGAAACCTTCACCCTAATAGTGCACCATGGGAACCTTCACCTCAATAGTGCACCGTGGGAACCTTCACCCCAGTAGTGCATCATTGGAACCCTCACCCCAAAAGTGCACCACGGGAAGCCTCACCCCAATAGTGCACCATGGGAACTCTCTTCCCAATATTGCCCCATGGGAACATAAACCCCAATAATGTACCATTAGAACCCTCACCCTAATAGAGCACCAAGGGAACCTTCACCCCAATAGTGCACCATGGTAACCCTCACATCAATAGTGCATAATGGGAACCCCTCACCCCAATAGTGCACCATAGGAATCCCCACACAACAGTACACCATGGGATCCCTCACCCAATAATGCACCGTTGGAACCCTAAACCCAATAGTGGACCATAGGAACCCTCACCCGAATAGTGCACCATGGGAACCCTCACCTTAATAGTGCACTATGAGAACCCTCACCCCAATAGTGCATCATGAGAACCCTCACCCAAATAGTGCACCTCGGGAACACTTGCCCCAATCATGAACCATGGGAACCTTCACCTTAATTGTGCACAATGGGAACCCATACCCCCAATAGTGCACCATGGGAACCTTAACCCCAAAAGTGCACCATGGAAACCCCTCACCCCAATAGTCCACTATGGCAACCCTTACCTTAATAGATTACCATGGGAACCTTCACCCCAATAGTGCACCATGGGAACCCTCACCCCAATAGTCCACTATGGCAACCCTTACCCCAATATTGCACAATGGAAACCCTCACCTCAATAGTGCACTAATGGAACCCCTCAACCTAACAGTGCACCCCCGGGAACCTTCTCCCCAATAGTGCACCATGGGAACCCTCACTCTAATAGTGCACCATGGGCACCCTCACGCCCGTAGTGCACCATGGGAACCCTCA